AGGGGGGGGGGGGGAGATTTAGGGAAAAGAGGGAAAGAGATAGAAATACAGACAGATAATTAGAGAGAAGAAGAGAGAGAGAGAAGAGAGAGAGAACGAACAGAGAAAGGGGATAAAATGGGACAGAATACTGAAAAGACGCATATATAAACTAAATCAACAATATAAATAAAAAGCAAAGGAAAATTATATAAATAAGCGAAACAGGAACAACCAACAGACCAAATACAACAACCGACCCATCTCACAGCTCCATTCAGCTTTCTCTCTCTGTCTTTCCTCTCCTCCTCTCTCTCTCTCGTCTCTCTCGCTCTCTCTCTCTCTCTATCGTCTCTCTCTCTCTCTCTCTCTCTCTCTCTCTCTTCTCTCTCACTCTCACACACACACACACAACACACAACACTCTCCCTCTCCCTCTCCCCTCTCCCCTACTCCCTCTTTCCCACCTCCTCCCACTCCCCCACTCCCTCTCCACTCTCCCTCTCCCCCTCCCCCTTCTCCCTCCCCTTCTCCACTCCCCTCTACCCATCTCCTCTCTCTCCCTCCCTCCCCTCTCTCCCTCTCCCCTCTCTCTCCCTCCTCTCCTTTTCTCGCCCTCTCCCTCCCAATATCATAGCAAGCCAACCCAACTCGTTATAGCAGACCTGATCCCAGTCCCTCCCCGGTGACGCCCGCTGTCGATCAGCTGGAAGGACCAGATTAGGAAATCCCAAAATCAAAGGAAAATTGTTGTTTACGTATCGGCGTCGGCGACAACAGAGAAGAATTCCAAAATCAAGGAATATTGTTTGTTTACGTATCGGCGTCGGCGACACAGAGAGGAATCCCAAAATCAAGGAATATTGTTTGTTTACGTATCGGCGTCGGCGACACGAAGAGAGTGGCGAAGGTCGTCTTGTTTGCCGAGGGGGGAGGAGGGGGGAAGGGGGGAGGGGGGTTGGAGAGGTGGAGGTGGTAGTAAGGGAGGAGGAGGAGGAAGAGGAGGAGGAGGAAGGAAGATGAGAAGGATGATGATGGGGGAGGAGGAGGAGGATGGTGATGGTGATGGGATGATGATGAGGAAGATTAATGGTGATGGTGATGAAGAAGATGAGGATAATGGTGATGAGGAGGATGAAAAGGAAGAAGAAAAATAAAGGGGAAGAAGAAACGAAGAATGAAATTATAATACCAAGACGAAAAAGAAAGAGAAAGAGAAGAAAAAAGAAGACAAAGAATAAGCAAGAAAAACAAAAACGAATAGGAAGAATAAGAAGAAAGAAAATAAGAAAGAATGAACAACAAAAACG